CCCCCCCTGTGGCCTACGATTGGCTAAGCGAGCCGAAGTGCGTATCTGCGTCTTTTGTATGCCAGGGCACAACAGTTGAAGCAGTTCGTGTGTTTTCAAGAGTTGCCATTTCGGGTGTAGCTGTAGCGTACGATCGTATGTACGCGATCCCAACGTGTCCTCTAGGAGATACAATGGTTCAAAAGGTTCTGTTGAAATTCGGCGTCCGTCTGACAACGTTCGCGGGCTCGTCGGTGGTTTTCCATTATTGGTACGCTGGCCAACTTGATGTGGCCCTTGGCAAGCTTACGAAGGGTTGTGTCCACAGTAGCTCGGGTCTCATGCGAGCATATCTTAGTGATCTGTAACTCAGGTGACCACGCTACCAATCGCCGAAGATTCGACTTGATGTAGTCGAGCGTTGACTGTTCCGCCTTGAAGTGATTTAGTACTTTATAAAACCACCGTAGGCTCTATACCTCATCCAGCCCAGACATTCTTAAAGGCTTCAAGAAGCGCTCCTTTCGTATCCCTCTCCATAATATTATGTAGGTGATAACGGTTCGAAGGCCATTCTGGCCAACTCCGTGGTTAACGTGGTTCTCGCTTGTCAACCAGTCAGGACTCGTGTGTCGCGCATAGGGTTTCCAGTATACCATGTAATGCTTCAGATCGCAGTAAGTTGTTGTCTTCCACTGCTCGACACAGCTTCTCCGACAGTTTCATTTTGCGTGCATTTTGAGCCTGGCGATTAGCTAAAATACTCTCTGGAGTAGGTGCTGGTGGGAAGAGGGCCGTCTCCTTGCTTCCTTGTGGTGAGATGTTATCCCGTAAGGGTTCGTATCGTCGAGCCTAGGTGGTCATGTAGGTTACACAGGAAATTTGACCGTGCGGATTCTGTTGTGCCCGCTGCTACTCATGCACGAACTCCTTAAGAGTCGGTACATCATTACCTGAAGACTGATCATCGGATTCCTGAGAAAAACTCTTTGGAGTAGGTGCTGGTGGGACGGGGGCCCTCTCCTTGCTTAATTGTGGTGAGATGTTATCCCGTAGGGATCCGTATCGTCGAGCCTAGGCGGTTGTGTAGATTACGCAGGGAATCTTGACCGGATGGGTTCTGTTGTGCCCGCTGCTACTCATGCAATTCCTTAAGACTCGGTGCATCATTACCTAAAGACTGATCATCGGACACCCGAAACTGGTATCCTAGTCCTCGATGTTGACGACCGAGACCCTTGTTCCGAAGTGCTGGGGTATCTTCCTTGGGTGACTCCCTGTCTGACCCTTGGTAATCCGCCTCCAACGGTTGGCGACCGCCCTGTAGAACAGGATGTGGTTGTCATGGATGTGTGCGATGTAAGCGCTGTTCTTACTGTTCGAGTAAAGACTGTTGCTTGGTCAATAGCTCTATAAGTTGCTGTGAGGAACTTTGGCTATTCCCGACCCCTGGTCTGTTGTAGCGCCGACGGGTGGCGTGGGCGCTTTGCCGGCGGAAGACGCTGGTTGCTATCGCTAGTTACAGCCTTGCTGTTCTCCTTAAGGTGTCGCTGAACCGACGGTTGTTGGTCTGAGGACGTAGCTCCAGAGCTTGCTGAAGACGAACTGGCTGACAACCCGGTATTCACTACATATTCACGAATACCCGCTTGCTCCTCATTCGTCTGTTGGTCAGAAATCACTGCTCGTCTGTCTTTGGTTGCCTTCTCCTGCCTCTGTGGGGTACTGGTTTTCCTTGCACGGTGTTGTCCTTGCGTGGCTAGGGAAGATCGTCGCGAGGTAGCCTAATTCTCTTGATGTTGATCATCCTGCTGGTCCGTTCGCTTGTGATTGACTTTGAGCGTCACCCTGTGATCTACTGCGTTTCGTTTCAGTAAGGTGGTTACCATCACGAATTCAACGTTCAGGTGGAAGATGTTGTTATCGGCGGCTTTGGCAAGGGTACGTCATACTAGTAGAGGTCGTTTGGAGTGATAGAGCAACTGCCTGAGCTCAATCGACCGTATCAAGAAATCAAGAACTCATCTTGATGTTCATCCTTCACGCCCGACTCGGATAATTATTTTCTCTAATTGTCTTCAAGCCATTGCTCTTCCTTTATGCCCTCATTCATTACTTACTCCCTAATCAATTGCTACCTAATTACTACCTAATTGGGTTGATTACTGCCTTGCTATAGAACTGAATAATGGCGACCGTGTACTCGATATGACGAGTTGTATGACGCCGAAAGGAACCACTTCCATCGTATACCTAATGTTTGCACTCATATACACACAATTTTATCATTGACACGTCATGTACCCAAAATCACAACTTAGTCCGCCATGTATTGTCCCCAGCGTGGATTGAATTAGTACTCAGTGTCGTTCTAGTGTCCAACATCACTCTAACTAATATGTCTGAGGGATTCCCACAGTTTTATGCACTTCTTGTATCCGTCACGCCCTCATTTCTTTCGTATACTATTTAACTTTCGACGTTGTGAATGTCATGTGACTATCCTACGTCCTTCCCCCTCTTAGACTTATTGTCATAAGATTGATATACTTTAGTGTTGTCCCTAGGTTGTGCCGCGACGTGTTAGCTAATGTAATTAAGTATTGATCTACTACACTTGTACTTGCCTAGTTATACCATCGATGGAGGGTCGTAACAACCTTAAGGGTTTTAAACAACCTTAAGGTGTGTGTGCAATCATCTACTCTCGTTGACTAAATTTACTGCCACCTTCTCTTGGTTCCGAATTGTTTGCCTCTTGACCCGAGTTTATTCTGCCTTGTCCTATTTCGATCTTACTACTGGACAACTTACTACCGTAGGTATCTAATGATTCTTCTATACCCATTTACCAATAAAGCCTATTATATCTTCTATTATGGGTTCCATGACTATTACTAACCTCGGTAGATTATATTAAACCCCGCTTCACACTTATTAAGACACGTATACTCCACCTCTTACGCACGATAATTGCTACTGTTTCAATACTCTGATAAAAATAACACACTTCTATCACTTATTTGCTCTGGCATGGCTATCATTTATTTGCTCTGGCATAGTGGTCGACTGATTCTAACTTCTGATTGTTGCTGTATGAATTGTCTCTTCCCTTTCGTGTCGTTTCTAAGGTTGTGACTGTTGGCTGTTTGTTGTTGTGCTAAACCATTGCTCCTCTCTTGCTCGTTATGTATCAGTAGAACCCCCCGCGTTTGTCGTGTCCTGAACATACTCAACGTCGCGTGTCTGACACCTATATACTGTCAGGTTTCTGGTGTTAGTAGTCAGTCCGATACTATATACGTCGCTGCTACTGTCTTCGAGTAGTGCAGGCGTTGATTCACTGGTTTTACTGCTGATGAAGCCACTGTACAAATTGTGCGTTCGATTAGGTCGATCTTCATTAGTGCATTTCCTTGACTCATCTTGATGGCTACCATCTAAATCTCGTCTAGGCTCTTGAACGATATTTCTCTATCTTCTCTAGTCAAGTATACAATATAAATTACGGCGGTAGAAAAACATCAAACTGTCTTGAAGTACCCAACCTTCTCAACAAGAAGTCAGCAATACTTCTAGACATGGACATTCTACCATACCTGGACATATCTCTAGCGGGGATAATCAATCCACTCATACCCACGGATGCCAAATGGGAATTACTTCTTACACCACACGAAGACGACCCTAAACATCAAGAATGAGGCAGCACGTGCAAACCCTGCAAATTTGTTCAAGAAATTAAACGCGGACTGTTTCATTTCAGAGAGAGTATCATTAAGAAAGCTCAATTGCTTTGCATGAATATCCTTTGTCTATGTTATAGTTAAGGTCAGGGTTGCGACGAAAAACGGCAAAACATATTCGGACCATAGTAGGTGTCGGAGACCCACAGAGGTGTTACCCGTGTGAGCACTACGGTGAGATTTCCGCGAGTGCTTATTAGGCGTTCACTTCATAGCTGCCATATCCCATATAAACCATCATCATACAGCTTGTGACAGCCCTAGTAATCATAGGCGTCTTGCTGGTCCCAAGTACCCACGCTGGTGTTATGGGGACACAGAAAAGCGATAGGCGTCAACTGGCTTTGGCAGGCGTGAGGCCTAGAACGGAGTGTCTGGGATCGGGGCCGGCAGGAGTTGTCTGGAGGGATGCTGAAGCGGTTAGACTTCTTGGTGTTGAGGCCTAGGAGGTTATTCTAACTGGCGCAACTGAGCACGCTGGTGCAAGAGACGCTGCCGTAGGACAGCCGTCGTTAAGGGCTGCTTCACCGAGGGCCATCACCTGGAGAGGCGCTGGACATGGGAGCTCTCGAGCTCGACAAGGTACCAACACAGGGCAATGCGTTGCAGTCGTTCGTTCATTCATCCACAAGGCTGTAGGCAATCTGCAGGGCGGAATTCTTTGCTTTGCTTCAATTTTTTTTTTTCGCATGGGGTTGAACTTTCTCATTATGATCATAAGGAAGTCCTATCCTCAGGTGTGGTATCGCGTTTGAAGAAACGCTCTACCTGAGGCACGATAGAATCGTCCAGGAAGAATAGCAACTTAGAGAGTTGTGGGGAGCGCCTATTACCAATAGCTTTGCCCAGCATTTACGAAGGCCTTGAAGCGATAGAGTCGCGGACACGGTTGGTCCATGTAGAGATGGGCACCGCATTCTGAAACAAAGCTTGTACGGGGTACGCTCGTCAATGTAAGATATGGAAAAGATCACGATCACAGTGGGTAAGTAGTTAATTTTAAAGACTAGCTCGTTATTGTGTGCCAACTAGAAAAAGAAAACCAGAGGTGATAAATCGTGGGGCGACAGTTGGAAAGTTAGGTAGAAACTCCAAAAAGAAAAATAAAGTAAATAAAAAAAAGACTATGCCAAACAAAGGAATCACTATTGTTAAGTAGTGTGTAGGACTCAAGATCAGGTAGTAGTTGGAAGCTGGTGCTGTTGGGCTGAGGTAGGACTGTTACCAGGTGGGGCGATGGGCGGGTGACCGCCGAGTACTAACCTCGTAAAGTGGGCTAGGACAGTAGTGTAATTGTAAGACAGATGAACTTAGGCAATGGAGTATAATATGCCAGGTTTAATACACTGATGCTATTGGTCCACTTTACGTAGCAAAGGGAGACTAACTACCAGGGGTTTAGGTTATATACCGGGTCATAGTCATGTCCTAGGTTCCGGTCTTTATGGCCCATGCTGGCCGACACAGACAGCGGTTCAATTATTGACGAACAATAAGGTCCCAAAGTTCGGTACTAAGTTGGCAGGGTCTTTTTTTGTTTTGTTTTTGAAAACTGTACATGTCAACTTGTCAAGTAGTGTCGCTCAGTGGGAACTTGCTGTTCGACTTGTGATTTCGATATTTTGAATATGCCGGGATACACCAAGCTCATAACATAATGGATTGGGCAGAACTAAAATAGACCAACTTCAAGTTCATTTCTCAGTCGTTATTTTTAAATATAGTACAAGTTCAAGCTATATGGCTGAATGGTACAATATTAAAGTCTAAAAATAAATAATCACTAAAGCTCCAGCCTCCAGAAAACCCCCGTCATCAATTTTTCTTGTGACAATCTCGCGACTCGCGTCACGCATGCTATTTATAACAATTCTGTTATTTTTTAGGAGGCTACGAACAGTTATATGTAAATAACACAATTGTGTGATATTTACACAACTATACTGTAGTGCCACATATACTTAGTAAGTGATATTTATGGAAATATCTATAGTTCATATATTGAACCGCTGAATATCACAGAACTCTTATATCATTCTAAGCTTTACCACTAGCCATCAAAATTACATACCACTTCAATTTATAAACAGTCTAAAATAAAATAAGCCATTCACGCCATCTCTTGTTGTTTCTGAAGGTTCGATTTCAGGTTATATATATATATATATATATATATATACACACACACACACACATATATATATATATGCACATACATATACATATGTATATATATATACACATACAGATGCATATATATATATATATATATATATATATATATATATATACATTTATAAATATATACATACTTATATATATATATATATATATGTGTGTGTGTCTGTATATATATATATATATATATATATATATATGTATATATATATAGTGG